ATGCCACAATCTTTTTTCAAACGCACAGTAGTGACCACTAAACTTGTCACTTTGCTCATATTCTAGCCCTGTAACTACATCAGTCTGCTGTTCAATCACCATGCCGCACCTAACAGCCAGTTCAACTGAAAACCAAAAAATGTTCCTCACTTCCTTTTCATAAAAGGCTGTGGAGCATTATGCGCAATGCGTAAGCAATTGCCACATTTCAGGCCAGCAGCGGCTGCAGTTCTGTGGTGAATGACTTACACACCTAAGGCTTTGTATTCAGCAACCTGTGTGAAGGCGCTCTGGCATCCATCTCAAGCAAAACGGGAATCCACTGGGACAAAAAGACCCTTCTAAACCTAAGACCCCCATCATTCAGTCAGAGGAATGGATATTAGCAAAATATGTTTCACTTTAAAATAGTATTTGTTTAGCAATGATAGAATGAGGGTCCATCTAAATTTCAGAAATACACTCCATAAGTATTAAATCTTTCATTTCTCGGAACTGATGTGAAACCTTGTAAATCTTAGGTATTTCTCATCTGCAAGTGTCTTCAGTTCTTCTCTCAGACACTCTGCATGTAGGAGTACGATGAATTGATAACCCCTCCAAGAATAAATGAAGAGGCATCACTGGAGCAAGTAAAGTGTGAAGAAAATCATGCTCTGAACTCCTTGCTCATGGAAAGCGGAGACCAAACTCTCGCTGACATCAAGCAGGGCCTGGATTTCACCCAAGCTCCCTACAACACAACTGTCTGAGCTTCAGATCTTGTCTCAGACACAGTCTGTCCACGTGCCCAAGCAATTTGTGCAAAAGGAATGCCCTGAAGCTATAACTGGAAACTACTCCACTGCACAACCTCATCTCACCAGGAAACAAAGCACATGGAATACGCAGCACAAACCATCCTTGCAGATTTACAGACCAATGAGGATAAGTCATCAGGTCAAACATTGAGCAGGAAAGATTAAACGGCTTCAAGTATCTAACATTTAATTTGAGTAAGACTTGGAATCATAAGGAGAAGGAGTTTTTGCAACAGAAGAGGAAGCTGAAATACAATGTAACAAAAATTGCTTAAAGATTATCAAAGGCCTAGTCAGCCATGCAGGTAACAAGGACATAACTGAGTTTGAGGTAAACATTACTAATTTACTTCATAGAGGTTCTGAAGAAGATGGCATGTACATCACAAGGCTTTTATGATGGGCCTGGCTAATATTAATGTCTATTATATTTGGTGTAATACATTATCTGGAAAGGGACAGAAACTAACAAGCTGCCAGATGACAAAAAAAGGATTACTTTGAGGTGCAAATAATCTCAAATCCTTCCCCAAGCCTCTCCCAATATCATTCCTCTGTATTTAGACAAAAGTTCAACATCCAGAACTATGCCTGCAGCCATTTTTCATTCAATTATACTTCATGGATAAAATGTTCAAAAGTGACCTATAATTTCAGAAAACGAAATCTCTGAGAACACACTCAGATATCCAGGGACTAACTGCAGAACTGCTGTGCACAGCTTTCACTGAAACCTCTTGCTCAGTCCTTCAAATATGCTATTTTGGCCTCATGTCTAAACAAGGATTTAAAACTCTGATTTTAAGGGGACACAGCTCAACAATTTTCAATAGTTAGGTTGAAGGACGTAAAATAAACACTTTTGGGGGCTTGAAGTCTGCACTTAGCTTTGGGAAAGAATAAAGTCAGAGGGCAAAAAAGAAGTGATGAGAAAAGCAAAGGTTCTGTCTTTAAGCTGCAAAGCTTTAAAATACTGAAAATAATATATATCCATCCATACTACAGTATCTTACATAAGTCAGTAAATACATGTATGTACTCTAGGATGGCAGCCATGTCGTTAAGTGTTCTTCTGTATTTCACCCCTAAATGAAAACAATTCCCCCTTCTTTCATCTCACAAAAGGAGAGCATCTTTTACTTCCTCTGCAGAACTACAGATATGCTTGTATCTTCAGTATAATACATCTTCAGTGCCTGGGTTATGAGGTTTGTTTTTCTATCACCTTGTGACTGCCAAGGAAATTGATTCAGTTCAGCGATATAATGGAAAACAATCTTTGTATGTTCATTTTTTTTTTTTTAAGATAAATTCCATTATTAGTAGCATCATTACTATTACCTTATAAATACTCCTGTTCCCGAGTTCAATAAAACAGAATGTGTATTTCTTCATGCCAAAATATTTTCCAGGTGGCACTAGTCTACACGCTGGAGTTTACTCCAGAGAGGCATCATCATTCAGGTTACCCCAACAACATTTATCCAGTGACACTCATGATGACGCCTGATCGCACAGTCTGCTAAGGCACAGTACGAAAACTCAACTTCAGAACCAAAGAAACCCAACAGTTGGAGGCCCGCCCCTCACCCTGAGAGATGAGGAAGAGCAGCGCTAAGCTCTAAGATGAAGGACTATCGAGTTCAGTATGATGGGAACGCAAGAAGTGTACCAGAGATCAAGAGGTTCCGCTGACTGAAGGGAAGCAGATGTTTGGCAACAGGATTCCAACTAAGTGTTGATTAAAATTTCAACTTTTCAATTAGAAGATGGCTGTTTGAAGTGCTCAGAATAGCCTACTTAATTGTTATCTGCCTCTGGAAACTCTGAGAAGGGAAAAACTGCTAGTGGAAAACTTAACGGCTTCAACACGGAGCCCAGAAATTCACATAAGTTTTTACCTTTTATTATTTGAGGCAACAAAATTTTCTTACCCTTCACTAGTAGCAGCACATTGAATCAGAGATACTACTGACAAAATCACAATACAGAAATTAACATAGTGAGAGTAATCAGCAATTCTAGTAAAGACAAGAAAATATTAAATGAAGGTGAAGCCTGTAAGGGGAGACCCTTGACATTTAAACATAGTTACAAGGAACTACTGGTATCTCCTTTAACCGGGCAAGCAGAGAGAAAGGGCCTGAGCATCAGACATTGTTCTCAGGGAAGTGTGAATGACAAAAAGCCTTGGAGATGCTGACCCTACACTAGTGATATCTCCGCTTCCAATTATGAACCCTTGGATCTTTTTGACCATGTATACACTAATAGATTGAATATGCAGGAACCTGTATCTGAATTTGCCCAGTAACTGCGCAAGGGGAAAAAAATCATAATCAAGTCAAGAAAAAGTAAGTGTAATGAAAGAGAAGTGGTATATATTTCAAACAATACTTGAAAATACTTTTAAAATTTCACTGCCTTTTGCCATTTAATTTATTCAATAAATATTCATATTAATTAGGCTTTAAAATAGAGAGATCATAAAAGGCCAAGGGTTTGTTTTTCTTTTCCTAAATCATTTTCTTGTATCTTGATCTATGGAACAGATGAAAATACAGTTTTTTGGAAAACATAATTCAGTACATTGACAGCTCTATTCCAGATAGTTATAAACCAAATGAGATTACAAACAAGCATTATAATCAGCAACAGATCAGTCAACTGTATCCATTTCAGAACTTCAATTCCAAGATTATCTGCTTCATATTTTATTTGGTAAAGCCCGTAACACAAGGCACATGAAGGGATCAAAGAGAAAAAAAACACAGATAAGAGAGTGAAAATAAACACCATGATCAAAATGAAACACTAATATAAAGTTGCTAGGGAATGAAAAAAGGGTAAAGCAAAATTCTAATGAAAGACATCACATTTGCTGGTACTTGTCTATTTTACAAGTAAAAACACATCTTTGTTTTGGGGAACTACACATCACCTTTGAGGAAACACACAGACTTCAAATTTTATAACCTCAAGCAAACTTCTAACCAAGGCAAAACAGGTCTGATTCAGGATTTTTGTCTTCCCAAATCCCCCAGCTCCACGAAGTTCTCCAAAAACAAGCTACAGCCCCCACTTCTTTAACAGATTTTATTCAGTACTTGTTTGGACTAACCCCGTACCAGCTTGCTAGTTCTCACCTTCTCCAATACTTTTACCACTCCTTCATTTCAGCAACAGTTGGCCTGAGGTTGTTTTAAGGTGCAGATTTGGCCATACCTGAGCTGACTCCCATGCAGCACAGACACACCTAAGAAATGCATGCAGGTGAAGTAGTCACCTATGCAAGGCAACAGTGCAGCACAGGGCTACATTCTCAGAGCAGAGCTTTCAGAAGCACCTGGAAAACCTCCCTGATCATTTTCTGTTACATTTCAGGCTGAAGTCTCACAAAAGACTTCTGATTTGAAGATGTGCACCCAGACAGGTCAAATTAAAACCAGGAAAATCTGACAACTGGCTAAGCTGCACTATTGTCAAGTACAATCAACTTGCTTGTTTGGGCAAATAAAACACCTTGGCACTTTTCCCAAACTGTCATTTTATCGTCTCCCCCCTCGCCTTGTTTTTTCTGCTTAAATCAAAGATTATCAATCCCTGGAATCCACACATAAGAAATATATATACCATACAGAGCTCAGTGTTAGTTATGTCAGTAGAGAAACAGTTAAAAAAAATACATTCTGTATCTAAATTACTGATTTATTGAATTGAAATTCTTGAAAGTTATTCCTCAAATAAGATAATGTTCAAAGTAAAGAACAACTTATATGCACCATCAATCTTTTCTACTTAAGTTTGAAGCAATATACCTTTCCTTTGCCCAAGAGAGTATGAGAACACTGAAGCAAATTTAAAATCCTAATGCAAACTTCTATTAAATACTAAGCTGTGGACAATGTTAGCAGACATCTCCATGCAAGTTCTGTGCTTTTAATGATAAATTGTACTGCTTTCAAAGATTTCAAAGATGACAACTGACTTTTTCTTGTTTTATGTTATTAACTAACACCATATAGTCAATATGGCAGGGGGGATCCTGAATCTACCATGCACCTGTGCTCCTGGATCCTTATAACACACATTTCTACCAGTCCAACCAATATGCAAAATGCCTCTGTCACACAAAACACTGCATCAAAATGTGTTTTCAAACTCATAACCTACTGCACTCTACAACAAAGGAGCACTTACTGCCATTGTCGTCAGAATCCTCACTGCTGCTAGGAAGCCGACGTCGTTTCATGATCTCCACGGGAAACAGCAGGCAGCCTGCAAAGCAATGAGACAGCACTTAACCCAAGACAATAATACACAGTCATCAAGTTGTGTTTCTGATGGCATTTGAGGATTTACAGCACACAAAGGAAAACAACTTTAAACAGCATCTGAAATATGAACAGTGAATATCTCAAGGATACTTAATTAGGCAGTCATCATATGAGCAGGTGAACTACACTGGAGAGTATCAACAACAACCCCACCAACACCTTCACCCCAAAACAAAAGCGTATTTTGTTCGGAGAGGTCTTAAAATCACTAAATATCTGCAGTCAATGCGCTTAAGTTCCCCTGCCCATTCTGACACTAGATTTGCAATACAATAACATTTTAACTGCTTGTGTAAATATTTACTTTGGCTAATCTGTTTTTTGGAATGATTTTATTCCTGTTTAAAGTGCCAGATACATGAAATCAAAGATTAAAGTCATCCACTTATATATAAAAAAAAAGAAACATAAGCAGTAGCAAGCCAATTTTTCCCAGATTAACTAAACACACATTATCTAGGCCCCGCACGGCACCACCCTCTAAGGTAACTTCCCCGTGCAGGCACATTTATAGTGCCATGCCAAACACGTCACTGTTTTTCAGGAATCAGACCACCAATTGATTACACTGAAGCTCCTCCAAACTGCCAGACTTCTAGCAATATCGAGTTCAACTGCACATGAACCAGTGATGTAAAGGCAAAAAGTTAATCTTTTCAACTGCTATCCACAGGGCATTGGTATTTTTGCATGTATTCTCTGTGGAATGAAACCAAATTCAGAAAAATGAAGGAAGCTGTAAATAGCCAGTCAGCATTTACATGTAAAAAGCTATTAAAAAGTCCAAGTTGAAGAGCAGAAAAAACATGACAAGACAAGCGCAGAAAGGCCTATCTACCATAAGTTAAACTGACAATGACTCTAGATGTACATCAAATCCCCTGAGTCTCTGCTTACCCCGTATCAATCGTGATATCAACAAGGTCTGGGTGTTCTGCTAGCAGCAAAGCCCTCGTACATACCTCTGGGGTGCAGATTTGGAAATCGGATGCCAAAATACTTTTTTGCTTCCAGGTAGGTGCAGAAAATCTAACCTCCTCATTTTCACATGAGTTGGGATTTCCTAGAAACCTCTCAGCAAAACTCTTTTCATTGGCTCTTCAGTACAGTTAACTACTTCAAGTTTGTTCACTGAGAACACGTCTCATTGTAGTAAACTCAATAATGCTTTCAACTTTCATGAGACTAATTCCCAAAATGCGGAAACCCAAAAAGCCTAACCAAAGCCTGATACTGTTTTTATAACAACACAAAAATATCTTCTCTCCCAAAAGTGATTCCTATTAAAAGAAATACACATTTTTGAGGGAATTCATTTCATCATCACTAGTAGATCACCAGCAACTGAACCTGAGACTCTATTTTACACTTCCAATTAACTTAATACAGTTGTAAGTGCTCAAGCACTGCAAGATTGCCTTCTTTTTCATATCATACACACAAACAGATGTAGGGGGAAGCCTCCCTCCCACAGAGTGACCTTCCTGAGTGGCATTTAATATGGCTGTCTTTGAAACACGTAACAGTTTTGAGCTGCAAACTTTGCTCACTAAAGGTAAAGGCAAACTGAATGGTTCACTTCACGAAGACCTTCTGTCACCATTTCATAGAGTAAAAGCTCACATATAATGTCTGATGCCAAAGAATAAAGAATCATAAATAACAACCTCTCACAGTGCTATAAGAATTCTCTCCAAAAGAATTCCTTTGAAGCAGACCAGAACTTTGTATGGCAGATGGAAATGCTGCCAATGAATAAATACACAGACCAGCCCGCACCATCAAAACCATCTGAACACAGATCTGGTATAAATGTAGTAGATCCAGAGCCAAGTTCAAATACGGTCACTTATAAAGACAGAATGCCAACATTCAGATCCAAAACAGGCTGAGACAGAACTGAAAAATCAATTAGCTGCTATAAGGTCAAAACCAGTGGGATAAACACCTATTCTGTAAGGTACTTCTTCCAGTAGTTCACATACTTTTCCTATAATTTACAGAAATATTAACAATAGCAATGTAAAAGAACATACTCAGAATGGAAATATCTCCCATAAACAAAGTGAAAAAGACATGGAAGAAAGCAAAGAAAAATCAAGTTCTCTCAGAAACATAACTTGAATATTCCTGGTCAAAACCCTCACTCCTTGGTTCATTCTCACACAGTCTGAAAAGTACTATGCGCCATGAAGCAAAATAACATAGCATAGATACACTGGGACACACTCATGAGCTTGCAATGGACAACAAAATTCGAAATTCTGCTCCTCCACATCGTTTTGAATATTTTCAGTTCATCTTCTCCTAGCCATACTTTCTGCAAATTCAGAAAACAAGGAAAGACTCAGAAGATTCTCCTTCCTACCACGTCTTTAAAAAATAAACTAAACATCTTTTTTGTTGCTGTTTCAAGGACAGAGTGATATTCACACCTCCCAAATCAAGCACTCTCCATAGTTCTTGAGGAAATAAGAGAAGCCAGAACAGCAGCCACTTTCCTGGAGTACAGAGTATTAGATAAGGCAGCTAATTTCCTTGTCCACTCTAGTTAGGTTTCTGAAGTTGGCCACATTGAAAAGCCTGCATTCCCAAAAGTAACTCTAAATCACAGCTGGAAAAGCAGCACTTGGCTTCTTAGAGCAAATCTCAAACCTCTTAAGATTAATCCCCTAAAACTTTTGTCATTAGAAGTAATAAACCAGCTTTTTTTCAACTTCTAAATAATTTTAACCTGTTTCCACCAGATGTTCATATCCACAGTTCAGAACACACGATCCAGAGATAACATTAGAACAGCTAATAAGAACTACAACCACACAGACTGAAATAACGCTGCTCTTAAGGGTATCTCAGTGCCTCTACCTCAAAGACTATCGGTTTCTATCAGGTGATGGCGACCTCAAGTCACGCAAGATCTGCATTAAAAAAATGCGGATTATGGATAGTGATGGTTAGGTACAGACTGCAGGTGCAGGCTTTCCATCTTGAACCACAGACATACACATTTTCCCAGCATGTTCAGAGAATACTGTGAATGCAAGTAATGCTTTTTCATCTTCAAGAAAAAAAAAACAAACCAAACTATAGTAACTTATTCTTCATGGGACATCCTTAACTAAAAATAAGGAGGTATTTTTATACCAAAGAAGGCAGAACAGAAAAACTTGCAAGCTTTTTCAGTAAAATTACTTATTCTCTTTCCTAATCTGAGACCTGAGTGACAGCAAAATCATTTTTCTTTGAAATTCTCAGTTTTAAGAGTCACGAAAATGTTGGTATTTTTCACTTGACTTTATTTTGACATACACTTAATATACTCAGGGGCATATACAAGGCACCTGATTCAACACTGATCTCATTAAAACATATTCTGAAACCGAAGTACGTCTGTCGATTCCAACGGGTCAGAAGTAAAGACTGCTTGTACCACAGCGAGTTTAATGGTACAAATTGGCTATGATCGTTATGCCTGTAAGCAAAGAGAATTGACATGTAAGCACAAAAAGGGTGAAGTATTTAAGCCAAGCATTAAGACTCACACCAATAGTAAGTAACAACTATGCACACAGCCTGTAACACTTGCAGGACAGGAAGAGACCACCCAAGTTACTGAGCTCAGTTCCCAACAATTGCATGCCACCACATAAATGCTATTTAGTCCGGAAGTTTCCACAAAACCTTCGCTACACCCACACATGCCACAGAACTTCCCAACCCCCTGCGCAAAAATAACACTTCTCTGAAGCAAGGAAGCAGCCAAACAAGCAGTGCCTTTGAACCCTGCATCTTCCATCACTAACATTTCTACAGCTGTTTTTTCCACCTTACACCGGCCCCCAGAAGGGCATTTGCCCACACACCGTTCACCTGCAGAGTAAGCCCAACACTTGCAAAGCTACAACAGAGTCCAGAGTCCAGCAGCCCTAATGCAACAGGGGCTGCCAGATCACCAGGCCAGACACTCCGAGGTTTCAGTGACACGTGTAAATTCCTAATAACCCAGCAACTTCTGTAAGTCGTTTCATTTCCTTGAAAGATGATTGTTTCTTTCCGTTAAAACCATCCTTTCAGAAATCAGACAGACCCACACACACCATGCCGACAGTTGTTTCTCCTGTATTATAACATTTACCCATTTATTGGGGGGGAAGAGGGGAGTGAGCTCATACAAATGCCAGCCTTCAACCAAACACAGCCATGACTCTGCTGGCAGTGCTACACCATTTCCAAGGGTGGACGAAGCATCCAAGTGCGCTTCGTGCAACCACACCACCGCAATGTAGGGCATAGCTGGGGCAGAGGCCATGACTTTTCAGCCACCAAGCACCTGCAGATGAGCTAGCCACACCAGGGCAGTACCGGTGAGGCTGGCAATGCGCTCTGCTGCAGTGCTCCAGAGGCTGAAGGCACTGTGCTTTACAGTGACAAGTCACCGGTGGCTTTTCCATCGTTGTTCATCATGCTAGCTCTGAAAGCTAAGCTCTGAGTTTTACTCATTGATCAGGTACAAACTTCAAACACACAAATGTAACCCCGGACTTACATGGCACAATTGCTCAGATTGTTTTTAAAGGCAAGATTACAATGCCTGAAATGTTTCTTCTGGCGACTGTGTTTTGGAGAGAGCGCTAAGGCTTTTTCAAAATACTTATAAAATGCTATGCAAATGAAATGACTAGATGATAATCCAATATTATCAATGTCAGGCCACAAAGTAACATTTGAATCATAGAATCATAGGCTGGAAAAGACCTCTAAGATCATCAAGCCCAACCATCCACCCAACACCACCATTCCTAATAAACCATATCCTGAAGTGCATCTACACATTTTTTAAACACCTCCAGGGATGGGGACTCAACCACCTCCCTGGGCAGCCTGTTCCAATGCCTGACCACTCTTTCAGTAAAGATTTTTTTCCTAATATCTAATATAAACCTCCCCTGACACAACTTGAGGGCATTGCCTCTCATCCTATCACCAGTTATCTGGGAGAAGAGACCAACACCTGCCTCGCTACAACCTCCTTTCAGATAGCTGTAGAGAGCAATAAGCTCCCCCCTCAGCCCCCTCTTCTCCAGACTGAACAGACCCAGTTCCTTCAGCCACTCCTCATAAGACTTGTTCTCTAGACTCCTCACCAGCCTCGCTGCCCTTCTCCGGACACGTTCCAGCACCTCAATGTCCTTCCTGTAGTGAGGGGCCCAAAACTGAACACAGTACTCCACGTGTGGCCTCACCACTGTGGAGTACAGAGGCACGATCACCTCCCCACTCCTGCTGGCCACACTATTCCTGACACAAGCCAGGATGCCGTCGGCCTTCTTGGCCACCTGGGCACACTGCTGGCTCATGTTCAGCCAGCTGTTGACAAACACCCCACGGTCCTTTTTCGCCTGGCAGCTTTCCAGCCACTCCTCCCCAAGCCTGTAGTGTTGCATGGGGTTGTTGTGACCCAAGTGCAGGACCTGGCACTTGGCCTTGTTAAACCTCACACAGTTGGCCTCGGCCCATCAATCCAGTCTGTCCAGATCCCTCTGCAGAGCCTTCCTATCCTCCAGCAGATCAGCACTCCCGTCCAACTTGGTGTCATCTGCAAACTTACTGAGGGTGCACTCAATCCCCTCACCAGATCATTGATAAAGGTGTTAAGAAAGCCAGGACCCAAAACTGAGCCCTGGGGAACACCACATGACCGGCTGCCAGCTGGATTTAACTCCATTCACCACCACTCTCTGCGCTCAGCCATCCAGGCAGTTCTTTATCCAGTGAAGAGTACACCCATCCAAACCCTGGGCAGCTAGTTTCTCCAGGAGGATACTGTGGGGAACAGTGTCACAGGACCTGCTAAAGTCCAGGTAGACAACATCCACAGCCTTTCCCTCACCCACTAGACAGGTCACCTGGTCATAGCAGGAGATCAGGTTGGTCAAGCAGGATACGGTTAGGAGTACAGACATTTCTGCCTACTTCCCAGGATCTGCTGGCAGATGCAGTGGAATGGGTTAGAATCAGCAACATGATACAGTACAGCAGATTCACTATTTTTACCAGTAAGCATTATCATGCTCCTCCATTCTCCTGCAAGAGATTAATTTAAAAGAAACAGAAAAAAAAAAAAAAAAAACCACTGGACAGGGATGCCAAAATCTTTCCTTTTACATTTTTTGTCCCACACTGAAGTCCCAGGGGTTGCACAGATACGAGTGAAAAAAATCCAAATCCTTTTTCCTAGCTTCCTCAGAGCAGAAATCTAGATGCCACCCCATAAACCTGACATAGCAGTGTGCACACAGGTACACCCAGGTGCAATGCACCACAGAACATGTTATGCCACTATTGCGCTGTTAAGAACGCAGCATACTTTCTCCACTCAGTTTGACCCCAAGTAGCGAGATGATCAAAGAGAAACATGTAAAGTGTGTCAGTCTTTGTTATGCAAATAGCTAAACGGAACCAAATTTTTTAAAATAATTATACATTAAAAAATCTAAATCCTCAGGTCAAAGGTTTTACATAGCACAAATCTTACTAAAGTATTTTTAAGGGCTGTATACACCTCTGGGTAAAAAGTGTACAATTCAACCTCTGACAGACAAGTAACTGTAACAGTGTTAACCGGTGTCACTATATAAACTGCACTGAACAGCTGCAGAGACAGAATGGGAAGAAAGCGGAATTATGACAGATGTACACCCCGAAGACAAACTGAAAAACTGGCTTTTCCTGAAAGTAACCCACTAACTGCAATGACAATAAGACCTAATTATCTCTAGCATGTGAGAAATCAATTCAAAACAGTTATTGTACAAATGGAAGTGTGACATAGTCTTAACAACATGGATAGTAAATGAAGACATTTGGTTTCTACTACCGTGCTCTTTTTAAATAGCTTGTTTATGACACCACCCCAGTCTTCACCAACCAGTATTTGACATAGTGAGGAAAAAACCTGGCTTTTCCCTTCTATGCCCAGACCAAAAAAAAAAGAGGAACTATATCAGAAATAAGTTACACCATTAAAATGCACCTACAAGTTTACAATTCCTCTTAATCACCTATGAAAGCTTCGACAGCAACATTTTATAGTCATGCAGATACAAGAAGAGCTCTTGAATGAAATACTACAGTACTACATAGCACAGTCCACAGCACAAAGAAGCCACAGACCTTAAATTTGGAGAAAAAGTCCTCCAAGTATCATGAAACAAAAGAGTACATTCCAAGGCCAAGAGTGTTCTCCACGACGAATATTTCTGCTGACTTCACATGTATTTAAAATTTCATCAAGGGAAGGCAGAAGCACAATTTGGACCTATCAGCCCATCACTTCTCAGCAATCCACATGCTCAGTTATGCACCTGTGCAAGTCGGCTCATAATGCTACCTTAGAATCGGGGCAGTGGCAGCAAACCATTCCCGAACTGTGCTGGTGAAACCGACTGCCCAGAATCTTCAGCAATGATAAATTGGGCTCCATGACTTAACTCAACCCATCCTGCATCCACTGCAGTTCAGCTCTTCCATTCAGAAAAAGCTGTCAGCTTGGTCAGCTCCAGCTGAAAACAGGAGCACGAAGCAGCAGTCCTAACCAGATGGAGAAAACATTTGAGGAAACGCTGTGAACTGGGAATGAAACCAGAGAAGCTGGAAGGGAAATCTGCAGCTGTGAGGGGAAAGGAGAGTTTATTATTATTATTTTAAACATATGTATTAAACACAGCTCAAAAGCAGGGAGCGAGCAGTATCTGAAGCCAGAGGGAAAGTCCTGCCACTAAAACGTACAACCCTTGCTGTTTCAACAATATCCTACTGAGTGTGAGAAACCTCTAGAAATAGAATCACAACAAGCATATTTTGGCATAACTGTTATGAAGGTTTCAGGTTTACCCATGTGGGCAGCTTCTGACTGACTTAAAAGACAGCGCCTGCTTAAAAAGGAAATTATTCCAAATCACAGCCAGGTCTTTCTCTGAAAAGCGGGGCTAGAATAAAAGCGTCTCCCTGCTTTAACATTAAAGTGTCAGCTAAAATGTGTTGCTAAACGCTATCATAATCCCTAGTACCACCTCACAACTACCCAAGGAGCAGTAACCCATTCTGGACACTTGCGCGGAGCGGCAGGAACCA